GGAAGTGGTGCTGTGGCTCAAGTGGTAGAGCGCTAGCCTTAAGCTGAGGAGCTGAGGGACAGCGCCCAGGCCCAGAGTTCAGGCCCCACCACCGGACCTCAAAAAAAAAAAAAAAAAAGAATAGTCAGGAACCAGTGGTTTGTGCCTATAATCTGAGGTACTCAGGAGGCTGAGATCCGAGAATCATAGTTCAAAGCCAGCCCATGCAGAGAAATCTTTGAAACTATCTCTAATTAAACAGCAAAAACACAGAATTGAAGGCATGGCTTAAGGAATAGAGTTACCAGCCATAAGTGAAAAGGCAGGGTGAGAGTGAGAGGCCCAGAATTCAAGCATCAGTACTGGCACAAGAGTAATTAGCCAATTAATTTAATTGAAAATAGAATTAAAAATTGTAAAAAGCCTAATGTTCATACAATATTAATATATAAAATCAATTACATTTCTATGCACATTTACAGTAAACAATGTAGAAATAAAAATTAAGAAAACAATTTCAATATAAAATGCTGCAACCACTTTGGAAAATAATTTGACACTTTCTCAAAGGTTTAAATATGGGCTGGGAATGTGGCTTAGTGGTAGAGTGTTTGCCTAGCACTCTGGGTTCAGTTCCTCAGTACCACAAAAACAGAGAAAGCCCAAAGTGGTGCTGTGGCTCAAGTGGTAGAGTGCTAACCTTGAGTACAGAGAGGCTCAGAGGCAGTGTCCAAGCCCTGAGTTCAAGCCCTAGGATTGGCAAAAACAAAAAATCGAGCAGTGTAAAAGGTTAAATATTTCTGCCTATATACTTAGATTTCAAGAGCACATTTTTATAAAACCATATATATATATATATATATATATATATATATTAAAACCATATTATAAAACCACATTGCTAAATGAATAAATCACATCACTAATCAATTCACCTTCATACTGAGTATATTACACTGTAAAGTCTCCACAGAAGTTGCAGAAATTCTAATATTTGTCATATATGCTGACATTAAAATCATAAATAGCTATAAAACCATTACTTGGCATGCAAAAGATAATCTAAACTAAACATGATAATGATCATTCAAGTTCCATCCAATCTAAATGGTTCAAAATAATCATTAAATTATATTCCTTGAAAAAAACATATTTTTATTTACCATTTATTGAAGGAGGAAAACAACTCCTACCTTTTTCTCTTTCGACTTCTGTGCAGTCTGAGGAGTGGCACACTCATTTTGGTGACCAAACTCTTGAGCTACAACTGTTTTCACAGGGTCTCCTTCAAGAACACAGTTTAGAAACTGCACTGTGTGTTCTAATGAATAGCTGCAGAAAGTTTAAGTACAAATACAAAGTCAATAAATGAAAATAAAAGACATACTGAGACACTAACAAAAGTAATTTTTCAAGCATTTTATAAGAATTTAAAAACCTAGCTTACTTTAAGTCTTCCACTTGAAATTAAATGCTCATGTGTATCTCAAACATTCGAGAATGCTCTGAGGGTAAATAACAAATAATAGGCTTTGCAAAACTAATTTTTTTTAAGTAAAAACAAAGCTGGGTGGTAGGTGCATGCCCATAATTCCAGCACTTGGGAGACTGAGGCAGTACCAGCCTGAACTACAAAGTGAGACTCATCTCAAAAGAAAGAAAGAGAAAAGGGAATGGTAAAAGACTGATTAATGGGTAGATATGAGAAAGAAGGCTATTCCATACAATAAGGTGATTATAATAACATGCTGTACTAGTTGAGGAATTTTTGGTCCTAGAAGATTGCACTCAATTACATGTACTGCTGACTGAGTCCACCTACCTTCCTTACCATAATGAAGCTAGAGTTACTGCTTGCTAAGAGAATCATCCACCTGCTGGCAAATAAAGAGGGACAATCAACCACCTCCTGAGAGTCCTGACTAACCAGTTGCTCTGGCCTGTAATTCTAGCTACTAGGGAGACAGAGATTGGGGGATCATGGTTCAAGGTCAGACCAGGCATAGTTCTCAAGAAGGCAGGTGCTGATGGCTCATGCCTATAATCCTAGCTACTCAGAAGGCTGAGATGTGAGGATTATGGTTCAAAGCCAGCCAGTACAGAAAAATCCATGAGACTCTTATCTCTAATAAACTACTCAGAAAAAGGTAGAAGTGGCACTGTGGCTCAA